TAATAATCCTATGGCAGTCTTACTTTGTATTTCTAAATTTTTCTTAAGATTATTTATACAAGATCTGGGGTACAGGCCAGAGACGCAGGAGGGTGAGAGGACCCACCAGAGACAGAGTAGGGAGCAGAACAGGTAGACGGACCAAAAAACACTGCTGAGGGGAACAGTGTGTGAGACAGGAGAGGTCTGCCACGCCTTCTGGGTATCTCCCTGGCCGGCTGGGAATTGAACCTACACTGCAGAGGCTGTGCACAGCTTCACAGCACTGCGCTCAACCAGCTGTGCCACCTGGGAGGCCCATTACTTTGTATTTCTAAATGTTACTCAGGAATATTCAGATTTATCATTTCTAGGGTAGGGTAAGGAAAATCACTATTATCCAGGAGTATTAAGGAGCCCTAGTTCAATTTTTTTTTTTTATTTCCAGGAATAAGCTCTTATGGTGTTAAAATTTCAAAAACTGTTGCCTTTTATTGTGATTATAAAGAATTGAAAGAATTTTAGATTCAAAAGGCCTCTGAGGTAAGTTTTTTGTTTGCAGAGGTTTGGAAATTATGCTGGCATTTATTTTGTTTCCCTTTTATTTAATGAATATGTGTGTATAAATAGAGTTCTATTTTGAAAGCAGTTTATAAAGACTTTGTGGTGGAATTTGTGATGACAGAAGAAAAGGAACTTTAGTGTTGGGCAATTAATGTGGTGGTTTTTCCAAGTAGCTATAAACATGAATGAAAAGATGAGTTAAGTATAGACCTGCACATCTGTATGAGGGAAAATAAAATAAGTTGATATCAGTAATTTTTAAATAATTATCTGTTAACCTCAACACTTAAACAGTTTGTGCTCATTTTTCTTTTGTTTTTCAGAAACTGAAGTCTCTATGATTGACTATTTTGTTACGGATTAAGTCATGTTTATTTTAGTATGCCTAATTTCAAAAATTACAAAGTACTGACAGAATACTCTATTAATTTTAAGTATTTCTTATATACATTTATAGTGTATATATAAAAATTGTCTATATATAATCTATATATATCGTCATATATAAACAAATAAGGTAAATATATGTTGGTTTGGTATTAACAATGCTATTTCAGAACTAGTAGTATCATAAACCATTATTGAGAATGGACACAGTTGTTAACGCAATATCAATTTCTGCATTCCTCTGTAACATTTTTTTTAAAGATTTATTTATTTTTACAAGAACCGGGGTACAGGCCAGATGCCCGGGAGGGTGAGAGGATTCACCAGAGACAGAGCAGGGAATAGAACAGGCAGACTGACGAAATACACTGCTGAGGGGAGCAGAGGGTGAGACAGGAGAGGTCTGCTGTACCATGTGGGCTTCTCCCGGCCAGCCGGGATCGAACCCGCACCGCAGAGGCTGCAGACAGCTTCACAGTGCAATGCTCAACCACCTGAGCAACCAGGGAGGCCCTGTAACACTTTTTTTAAATTGAATTTTAGGGGAAGAACTTATTTAAAGGTTCTGCTACCCAAATTTGTCTCATATGCCAGTGTAGTTATCAGTTACTTAATATATTCTTCCAGAAATTTTACCCAACAGTCTATTGTAGCAGTTAGAAGAGTTCAATAGTTTGAATTTGTGACCGAAAATAAAGGTAATTAACAGGAACATCCTTCCATTGTCACAAAACTCCTTTTTATCCTTTGTTTTCTTTGTAGCATACAGAACTTAACTACTATCCATTTCCCCTCCTTCTAAGTCATTGGTGTTTATGAAAGTCAGAATGGAAATAGTATAAACCATCTAACTCTGCCTACTAAGTCTTATAATTCTTTGTTCTAGTTTTATAAATAGTAAGAAGTAATTAATTAGAAAAGTCAGCATCAAATGACTGCAGTGGAAAATCTTGAATCTGTATTTTTTTAATTTTATTTTATATATTTTTACATCATTTTTCATTTTTGTACAATGTATGCAATTTCATCTCAGTTATAGTTCCCGTGAAATTCCTACCACCCATTCACCCATGAGCCATTACCATAGTTGTTTGCGCTCTTCCCACCCCTGTTATAATCCTACTCCCTTCTGCCCTCCTGAAGTATGTTGCTGGTTTATAGTTGCCTGTTGGTTTTGATTTTCACTTTATGATAGTTACTTTTTTTTGTCCTGATCCCTTATTTGGATCCTCTACCTTCCTCCTATAAGTGAGACCATCCTATATTTTTCTTTTTCTTCCTGGCTTATTTCACTGAGTATGATTCCCTCCAGCTCCATCCATGTTGCTGCGAAGGACATGAGTTTCTCTCTTTTGATTGCTGATTAATATTCCATTGTATATATGTAGCACATCATCTTGATCCAGTCATTTATTTTTGGGCATTTGGGTTGTTTCCATAGCTTACATATTGTATAATAGTGCTGCAATAAACATAGGGGTGCAGGTATCCTTTTGAATTAATGTTTCTGTGTCCTTTGGGTAGACACCAAAGATACTAGGAGTGGAATTGCTGGATCATATGGAAGCTCCATTTTTAGCAGATTGAGGAATCTTCACACAGCATTCCATAGTGGTTGGACCAGTTTGCACTCTCATCAGCAGTGTAGGAGAGTTTGTTTTTCTCCGTATCCTTGCCAACATTTGTTGTTGTTGTTAGTTTTTTTTTTAATATGTGCCATTCTCACTGGTGTAAGATGGTATCTCATTGTGGTTTTGATTTTTATTTCCCTGATCAGTTTGTAGTTTTTAAGTGACTTTTAAATTAGGACTAGTTCCATTAGCAAAGCACCAAGGTTAATTTCATGAGACTTTTAAGCTAAAATGTGAAGCAATTACAATCACAGATGCAGATCCATATTTTGACTGGTTTATATATTTTTTATACACTTATACTAGAAGGATTTAATTAATTTACCAAAAACATCAAGCTAATTTTTCAGTATGTCACTTTTTGTGTATCAGGAAATATCTATCACATACGTCAATGCTAAGGATCATAGAAGATAAAATCTGGGATAAGAATTAATTTTTATTGTGTCTATCTAAGTATCCTAAAATCCAGATTTATATTTATAGAGTACCTATTTTAACAAGGAGGCATACTAACAATTGAAAGATCCTTAATCATTCAATATCTTAGTCTATACTACTATTAACTTCTTTCATTTCTTCTATAGCTTCAAAATATTCTTTCAGGTGCCATTTTCCATCTTCTGTGCTCTTAAAAAAGTAATGGACTATTTCCAAAGCTAATCAGGCTCCTATTTTATCCTTTCCTTACTTTTTATAAATCTTGTTTCATCCACCATTTTAATCCTCTCTACCTACATTTAAATGATGCTGATTTTTCTATCATCAAAAAATCACTGTTGGGCCGCCCTGGTGCAAGGGGTTAAGAAAAAACCTATGAAGCTATCCATAGCCACTGCAGCACGAGTTCAATCCCTGGCCAGGAAGCAACCCACATGGTGCAGCAGACCTCTCCTGTCTCGCCTGCTGCTCCCCTCAGCAGTGTATTTCAGTAGATCTGCCTGTTCTGCTCCCCACTCTGTCTCTGGTGAATCCTCTCACCCACTACACCACTGGCCTGTACCCCAGTTCTTGTATCATAAATAAATAAATCTTTAAAAAAATCTTCACTGTCTCATTCTTCTTCTTATTCTAATGAACTCCTTCCCCAGTTATTACCCTCAGCTGTACTTTATTGAAACTAGTCTCCTATAAGTAACTAGCAAATGAACTCCTAAATTGTAAACTCAATAGTTTTTCTCAAGTTCCTTACTAAACCTGAATAGTTCACATACTTTCATACAACATATTTTTCTTTCTTTAACATTTTTAACATCCTATTTTTTTTCACGATTAAACCAACCCATTTATATTTTTTGGAAAACCCTTATTCATAGTTTTATGGTTATAGCCCATTGTTCAGATTTAGGAAAAGCTTAAAATGATACTTGATTTTTTCTTTTCCTCACTTGTCTCAGCCAGTCAGTTTATGATTTCTACCTTCATAGTTTATCTGGAATCAAGCCTATCTATTCCTTTCAGCCAGACAAAACCTCACTCTCAGCTTTCCTTTTGTATTTCATTCACATCTTAACTGAGAAAGTGTCTTTCAGTATGATATCTCTTTGGCCCTTGCTGCACATTCTTACTCACTACTTGTAAAACATATTAACAATTATAGAATTCTTATGATCAACATCCTCCATCAATCCCTTCATTTGTTGCTATACAATTCTCTCACTATACTGTCCAAATTTTCCCAATATTTTCAAAACATCACATATTCTGTCAAAATTTAAATATTTATTACTATTCTAATCTTGTGTGCACATTCTTTTATGACTTTGCTAATTCTATAAATTCTTTTGTCCCACCTTTTAATCTTTTATAATAGAAATCACCAATTTAAGAATTTTCCTTACAACAGTAGAGAATTTTTTCATCCTATGATATGATCTCTCTCCATGAACCCCCATAGGACTTTAATATTCCACTTTATGTTATTATCAGTAATATAATTTTATTCTACCTAACCTATCCTCTTTTCTAGATTCTAAACTTTTTGAGAAAAGAACAATCACATGGTAGAAATATTCATGAAATAGCTCAATCGGTATTTGTTAAATTGTGTTAGAACAAAGTTTCACTAAAAAATAAGAGAATTAATTAAAACAATCCATAACAAACATATCTTTGTTCCTGCAATGTTTTTTGTACAGATTGGTAAAAGAGATTGAGAACATAAAAAGCCAGACCATTCCATTTGCTTGCTTCATGTGAGCTCACATATAATGGGTAAATTAACCCACAGGAATCAGTAAGAGTATTTTAAGCCACCTAGAAGAACATTACTATGTTACTAAAGTCTTTTTTTTAATCACTTACTGAAGAGATCCAAAATAATTAAAGTGATTTTAGAAAAGCTTGCTTTATCCCCTGGGTATGAATTATAAATAGAATACTGTGTAAATGCTAGTAGTATGTTCTACCAGCAGAAAACTTCTAATTAAAATAACTTACCTTATAACTGAGATAACCAAGCAGTATTGTTTCAAATAGACTTATCAATGCCACTGAAACCTAAAATATAAAATTTTATCTTAATGAGAACATTCAATAAACTTAAAATATATATTATTGACTTCATATATGTACACATATGATTGTACATATATCCACATGCATTTGTATGATACATACAAATTGTGAGATAGGAGGCAGTATGTTGTACTTGACCCTCTATAGACAGGTGATAGGCTGCAAGTTATTTCAGGTACTAAAATTTAGCTTTTGTAATTTCTAATACTCCTTAATAAATAGTTTGTATTTATTATCTCAAATGTAAGTGTGGAATAAGAATCGTCAGACTGACTTGAATTTGTATTATAGGTTCTTATGTCTGTGTAAGTTACTAATACACACAATCACACACAACTGTCCCATATATGTCAAATAATTGCCCTCTACCAACGCTACCACCTTCTCCAGAACATGGCAAAAACAGCAGTTTCCTTCATAAAATAATAGAATATAGACATTGTTGAACACCATGTTCCATCCTCCCACCCACTCCAAACAAAATGAAATACTAAAGACTAAATGAAGAGTCCATGTCAGTACTTCTTGATACTTTTAAATTCCATTTAAATGAACTTCATAACCAATTAACTTTTTGCATCTGGAAGTGCTAGTCCACATCTTCACAGACAAACTTCCACCCTTCCCTCTGCTCTCTATTTTGTATATAAATATATATAAAATTATCACTGATGAACTAGTTAACCTATGCATTGCAACAGAAAACTTAACTAGAAAAACATCCAAATTATTATGCACTAAACACTCAAAACAAATTGGAATGCATGAGTAGAATCAAAATAAGCAAGAATAAACAAGAAATGACTCAGATAACTAACTTATTTGTTTATAGATTTTTGACAATCATATAAGAAAATCAGATACCCTAGAGCTTTCAGGTTTGCCTGCTATTGGAATAATTTGGATTTAAGCGATTATTAAAGCATAAGGATAATAGAAAACATGAATGCACAGCAATATAAGTAAAATAAGTTCATAAGGAGCCAAGCATTACGGTAATAGAAAACTCACACCCCTTAGATTTTTCTCCACAGACCTCTAAATCATAATCACCCATGTTTTTTTATATAGGTACATAATATTAGATGATCTCTAGAACACTTTTTACATGGATTACTCAAAATCCTATTTGGAAATAAGTATTAATGCCATTATTTAAAATGCCACTATTAGACAAAAGTAATTTGAATGGAATGAAATATGTCTTCAGTTGTATATTCATAAAAATATTAACCTACCTTATATATGTACCTCACTGAAGGATACTATAGGAATCTAGCTCAGAGACTAAAAGACTGTGTTTTAATGAACACTTAAATAAGGATAATTGTGACACTGCAACAAAAGTCAGTGTAATGAAATACAAAATAAATTCAATACCCAAATAAAATATGAAATATTCAGACACAGTAAAAACTTGGCTTTACATAATATAGTTACAAAGCATATGTAATTAAAATGATTCATTATCACTTATAAAAAGTACAGATTCCTCAATCATTATAACTTCAAAAGACAAACCATGCATTTGATTTTTAGAGTTACTCATAAACAGTGTCTTACGGTTTATTTCTTCCAGATTCAGCACTCTTCTAAACAATTCTATTTTTTTATGTTAGTGACTATTCTTTAAATAATTTTCACTTTTGAAAACTTAGAGTATAGGAAGAAGACAAGGGCAGAGGTGATAGAAAGTTGAAAAATGTTTGTTGGGTGTAAAATTCAATAGAAAAGAGAACAAAGTAGAGGCCAACTCTGGGGAAACACCTCAACCATATAATTCAGACAGAATTTCCTTTGCTAGGGGGTACTTTTTATTTTATTGACAAACTTAACTGCTTAGGGACTGAGCTTTTACTATTGGCAATAGAAACCATTCATTTGTTTCATTTGACAATTTTATACTGAGATCCTCCCATTTCCACATGTTGAGAACATAAAGTGAAAAATGCAAATATGGTTATGGGCTTTTGATTGATGATTATACCTAAATCAATCCAAAGATTATTCCTAAAATAGTGTGAGGAACATGTGGTGCCTTAGACACTGATTTACTTCAGTTTCCTCCCTACTTTCTAAAGCTTTCTGAAGTCTAACCCTGACTATGAGGAAATTCTCAAAAGGTGGAATGTAAAACTCAGGCAAACAAGGAAAGGAATGAAACTATTAGTCTAAGATGAGCATCAATGTTACTTAAATAACAAAACAAACTCAATTTTAACATCAACAATGTTCTCTCCAATAACATTTCTCTATAAAAGATAAACAAATCTAATAGTATGCAAATAAAGTAAAATTTTACATAACCTGCAAGCCCCATAAAGGCAGACTTCTGTTCACCCAAAAGATATGAGACCTATGAAAAGAATAAGATGTTAGTTTAAAATTGTGAAAAATACATTCATTTTGAATTTCAAATGAAGTTTAAATTATTCAAATAATGTCAACATAAAAAGATGATAAAATACCAAAATTAAAATTAGAAAACTTTTATATTACTTAATTTCTTTTCTGATAATATATATTTTTATTATGGGAAACCCTTTTTCTATTTTTTCAGTGTCGCGTTAATAATGAAAAATGAATGGGACCTTTTTTAAACAGTGCTAATGACAGGATAGAAAGGACTCATACCTCGTCAATTCACCATTGAAAAATCAATTTTTAATCCTATGCAGAAATGTCCTTAAATATCTCTTAGAAATCATATACTATCCTTATCTACAGTATTTATGTATATTTGAATCAAATGGGAGTTATTCTCAGCTGGTGATTTCTATTATAAAAGATAAAAAGGTGGGACAAAAGAATTTATAGAGTTAGCAAAGTCATAAAAGAATGTGCACACAAGATTAGAATAGTAATAAATATTTAAATTTTGACAGAATATGTGATGTTTTGAAAATATTGGGAAAATTTGGACAGTATAGTGAGAGAATTGTATAGCAACAAATGAAGGGATTGATGGAGGATGTTGATCATAAGAATTCTATAATTGTTAATATGTTTTACAAGTAGTGAGTAAGAATGTGCAGCAAGGGCCAAAGAGATATCATACTGAAAGACACTTTCTCAGTTAAGATGTGAATGAAATACAAAAGGAAAGCTGAGAGTGAGGTTTTGTCTGGCTGAAAGGAATAGATAGGCTTGATTCCAGATAAACTATGAAGGTAGAAATCATCAACTGACTGGCTGAGACAAGTGAGGAAAAGAAAAAAATCAAGTATCATTTTAAGCTTTTCCTAAATCTGAACAATGAACCATAAAACTATGAAAACATATTGAGGGAAAAATCAAATTGGGGTGGAGATAGACGGAATAATGAAAATGGTTTTAGAAATGATGAATTTGAACTATTTGTGGTCAAACAGGTAGAATGGTATGCAATTAAAAATGAGGCTCTGGAACTTGCAGGAGACAAGATTTATTAGGATTTGGCAGACATGTTCATAGAGATGGTGGAGGAAGCATGTGAGTTCGTTAAGTATGAGGTAACCACCAAGGAGAAGTTCAGGCACATGCAGATGGAGATGCTTATTATATTGTGGTTGTTGGAAAAAGAATAGAGCATTGCATTTGGGGAAAAAATTAAAAATGGTTATATTAAGGGCCACAAAGTGCAAATAAAGAAGCCAAAATAACAAACAGGATAAAACAAACCTACTCACTGGTTAGAGCAATGAAATATATAAGTACCTCATTAAATATTGTGCGTTTTTTTTAATCCTCAAGTCATTTTTTGGTAATAGCAATAACAAAAGAACAATAAACTCTTCAAAATATTGTTTTTTAAAATGGTAACCTTTAACAAGAAAGAAAGCAGCTAGTATATTAGCCTACTCTGTAATTCCCGAAATATTACATGTATACGAATGATACATGTAATAGGGCAACCAGTGAAGACGGAGCGTGATTAACATCTTTGACTGTTCCAAACTAAACCTGTAACTTTTCTGGGGAAAACTGGTCTTCTCACTTTTCACATCTCAGTAAATGGCACCAAATCCCTTATGTTTGCTTACCCAAAAGTTGTACATCATCTTAGATACTTTCCTGTACTTGCAAATACTTAATCCATTATTAGCTAAGCCTCTTCAATTCTTCCCAACAAAAGCCTGTTGAATTTATCTACCTATCTTCATCTCTACTACAACCACTTTAATTTAAACCACCGTTTCCATATTGGAGTCTTATAAAAGTCTTCCAACTGAGACCATGCACCTCCCTTTGTCTTCTACACTTTTTCTCCAAATTTCTACATCAGTTATTCCTAAGTGCAAGTTAGATTACTGTGTACTGTGTACTGGTCTTGCACTTTTGTTAAGATAAAGAACAAAACTCTTTACATAACATTCTTAGTTTTATTCATCCCTTGTGCTCCTTCCTTTTACAACCCATTTTACATGTTTTTCTTCATCATTTTCATTTCAGTTCTCTCTCTGGGAAACTTCTCTGAAGCTTCCAACTGATTGATGTAGTCACAAATCTCTTGGGCCATGTCACGTCACCATACTTCTCCTACCACTCATCTCAATTGTAATTTTACACTTATGTGTAGGTGTATTTCTTACACCTAATAGTTCTCCTTACTAAACTGAAATTCCCAAAAGATGCAACAGTATGTCTACTCTGTCCAGTATTGTAATCCCAATAACATTCTGAGTAAATGCATATAGTAGGCTAAATATTCAAGATCAACAAATGGATCCTGCCAGTAAAAGCAGAACTGGTTGATAAGCTCAGCAACACTGTCCTTTCCAAGATATATCTCTGGCATTCTCAGTGACATTGAGAAATTTGACCACAAGAAGCTATGTAGGAGTACAGAGTGATGTATACTCCGCTATATGTATACTATGATATAGCCTCTGCATAGTTTTCATAGATAGAAAAATGACACATTACAAAAACTACTAGTTCAGAAGATCTCAAATTATGGAGAATTATGATGTGTGACTTTTACGTTTGTGAACATTTTCAAAGGGAATTTGTTAATTAACATGGATTTAGTAAAACTGGTATATTAAACTCCTTATCCTTTGGGCTAGGATGTTGTTTTGTTAGGTCTTGAAATATAGAGTATTTAAACTTAAATAATATTTTGAAGAAAAGGTTTTTTGGGCATAATACTAGGCTATGTGAAATAGGTTTCATAATCCCTAAAAGCATTTTCTACAAATCTTTAATACATAAAGATCAGTGTAAAGTGAGATCTCCAATAGAATGTCTTTTCACCTATATACTAAGCACTAATTTGGATACATAGAAAAAAATGAATTCCAGCATAATACTAGTGCCCAAACTACTGTGAAATAGATTGATCATGAAAAAGAATGATTATTGGTATATTCCAATATAATGTCCAGAACAAATGACCATTGAAAGTCAATCCCCCATTGAAGCTTTAATTCCACTGACTAAAAGCACTAGGGAGAATCAGCAAAGAAGAAACAGTACAGGAAGACTTATTGCAGTATTATTTATAGCAGGAAAGTAGAATCTATCTCAATATCCAACAATAAAAGAATTAAAGTAGCCTCATCAAAATCAACAACAGCCAATATAACAAAAACGAGAAAAAAAGGCACTGATAAAAGGATGTATATTACTTTATCCAAATTATATCAGTAGTGTGTTATACATACATTTATTTATAGAGGGAGAATTTACAAGATTGGTCATCTAAAATACTAAAAATACTTATTTCTAGTTGTTGAGATTTTAGGAAATTCCTACTACCTTTACCTTGCCATATGTATTTATATTACAATAATCATGCTCCATTAATAAAATCATAAAAATAAGAATAAATTCCATGCTTTTCAGGAAAGAACATTAAAACAACAAAAAACGAATATCAAATGCAACACTTCAGTTATTCTTAGACTAAGCCTACAGATGAAATTCTTGCTTGAAGCCTCATTATGGAAACTAGAAGAACCATTTACTTATGGTGTCTCCTAAAGGTAAGAAAGTAGTTGCTAAAAATGTCAGATTAGCTTTGGCAGTTAACTTGACGAAGATCTGAAATAGAAGTCAGGGGATGAGTATGTTAACAGGCAAATAAAGCATTATGTCAAAGTAGTAGAGCAAATATTTGGGAATAGAATCTTATCAAAGAACTTGTGGGTCAAAAACACAGTATGAACTCAATGACCCACTTCCCCCAAAATTATACAGTCTTGTACTGTAATGACAAAATTATACTATCGTAACCAGAGAGGCAAACTATGAAACTCTCCTCACCACAACAAATGGTAAGAAATTAGTAGAAGGCATGACAGTAGGTTCACATTTCAAAGACTTAAAAATATTAATGTGTGTATAAAATCAAGTTGACTAGGATACTAAAGCATGATAGCTTTGAAAATGTATTAGGAAGATTTTTTAATAAATCCTTTCAAAATACTTGATATGCTTGATACAAGATTAGAGGTCCAACCATCAGTGATATTACAAAGAGGACAGGATGCCCACTCTTTGAGAGGATGGATTTTAAGAGTCTCTCAATCACATATATATTGGATGAGGCAGCAATGGCTTTGTACCAACTTTCATTCTCTCCTTCCACAGTAAAGAGTTGAGTGCAAAAAGTCACATGTCAGCCGAAGGCTACATTTCTCAGCCTTGTGTCAAGTATGATAATGTGACATTCTCACATGAGCTGAGTATGAAATACAAGTAAAAGCGATGCTTGCTATTTGTTAGCCAAAAATTTTATGAAGTGTTACATACCTTTGCAATGCTCTCTCTACCTATCTGAAAGTGACTTCAAAGGACTTGTAGGTATTAGCAGAGACAGCACACAACCACAAAAATAAAGTGGATAACATATATAACACTGTGTGTGTGTGTGTGCGTGTATGTGTGTGAACACCATATGAAGAAAAGGTCACATTGACTAGGAATATCAGCACTAGTCTCTCATAAACTTTTTTTTTTTATTTTTTAGATTATATGTTAGAACACTTGGTACTACTTTATACCATAACCAATATACATTAAAGGAAAAGTAATCCTGTATTGTGAGATTCATTCCTAATAATCATCAAATGTTTATGATTTAATTTAATTACTTCTTTCAATAGTTGTTATCCTAAAGAAGAAATTATCTTTAAAATTGAATGTGACCTGAATACACCTGTTGCTATAACAGGCATGGTTTTAAATGCAAATTCAAGTATCATGAAATATAAATACATTCATGTGCTTATCTTTGTCTATATCACTTGATCTTACAAATTAATAATCATTTTGACAAATTCTAAAGTGGAAAGGGATGCATGAATTTTGACTGATAGTGCAGAACTGGAAGCACCAGCAGGCAATGACTCAATGCTGATGGCTCATCTCTCAATGAAATTCATAAACTACACACTGGAGGTGTATTTCCTATGCTATCACCTTTAAGTCATTTACTAAAGACTTTGTAAACAACATAGTTTATCATTTGCATAATTTCATACACTGACAGTAAACTTTTTTTCATATCCTTCAATGTGTCCATACTTTGCAACATTTTTATATCAGTTTTGACCCCTTGAAGGGAATTAAAAATAAAGCAAAGCAGTACAAAGTATTTGCAGCTTTATTATGTCAGAAACTCTAATTAAATAAATCTCTATGTTGAATTAGCCTCATTATTTCAAAATAGAGTCTGTGCCCATAAAGGCCACTTCTGTTTTTCATTAACCAATACTGCATAGACAATGGGAACTAAACAGAACATTGTATTCAAAATGGAGCCATGAGTTATTTTGTTATGTTTTTTAATGGCAGTAATATGATTTTTCAAATGTATATCCTCTACAATTATAGTTGAATATTCTTAGTAATATGACATAGAAATTAATTATAGGAAACTTTGTTTCTCCTAATGTTTTCAAATAATACGATTTTATTCTGCAGTCACCTACCAATGCCCTCTAACCAGTAGAAAGATGCCGTGATGCCGTAATGCCTTATTTTATGATTTTCAGGTCTCCCCACTGTACACTTTATTAATAAATCACCAAATTTTAAAAACATTTTGGTATGCTCTTAAAAATTTAATGTGAACCATTTTTATTAGCACACTGACAAAAAATGTAATAAATGTAATATGCACTGACATCTCTAGGTAGAGGTCTTCAATCATCTTAACAGTACCACACTTTTACTAAAACTGATGAGCACAACCTACTAATTCAGCAACATTCATGACCCTACATATACCTTGCTAAGTATGGAAGCTGCAGAAAGCAAATACAGATAGTCTTTGCTCTGAGAGAGACTGAAGAGGGAACAGAGAAGTGAAATGTAAAATCAAGAGCAATTTGTTAATTACTGCAATAGAAGTTTGAGCAAGATGTCTGGAGAATCTTCAGAAGCCACTCTTAAACCAGAGTGGAACTGTATTCGAGGTCACACTGTCAAGTAAGAATTTCAGTTAAGTGCTAACCAATCAACTTTTACTCCAAAAGTCCAGGGGTCTTGAAGTGGGTTAAAAAAAAAATAGGGCTGCCAATTGCAATAATATGGATGGACCTTGGGGGTATTTAGTGAAATAAGTCAGATGGAGAAAGAAAAAAACCACATGACTCTACTTAGGTGGTATATAGAGAAAAACAAACTAACTAAATAAAGAAAGAAAAAAGAAAAACTTTTAGCGTATAAGACCAAATTAGTAGTTACCAGAAAGGCGGGAAGGAGGGTTTTCAATTGTGTAAAATAAAAAGAGGGAAAAAATAATTCTTTACAAAATGATTTTCATTAACCATGCTAATTTCCTCTAAATTAGTACTATTTTCCACATGTTAAACACCTAAATAAATTAATTAAACTTAGTGTGGCGAGCATGTCTCCATTTATGTAAGTCAAATCTTTTTGCTGTACACCTTAAACTTATACAGTGCTTGATGTCAATTTTATATCTCAATAAAATGGAAAGAAAATAATTCCCTAAACAAAAAATAAAAGGCTAAAGGCAGTTGTGGAAAACAGGTCCAAGAAGAGGAAGCAAAATGTTCAAAGGCCTGAATGCAAGGAGAACAGAGTATGTATAATTCGCTTCATGTAGGTCGGCATGGCTGAAATAGGAGGTAGATGAGAGGAGGTATGTTAAAGTCAAATCAAAAAGAACCTTCATTCACCCCTTTAGTCTGTTGCTCATTCAATAAGTAATTACAGTGTGCCTAACTTGTGCCAGGTTCTGAGAATTCAGACAATCTATGCCATCATGGAGTATCCATGCAATCCACAAGGAATATACAGAAAAGAAAATAGCAACAAAAGTGATAACAGCAGCACAGGGAAATTAAAACATTTTTTATTTAAGTATCCAAGAGAGTCTAATGAGGAGATTACAATTTCTAACAGGATGTTTAGTTAAGCTCTCACTGAAAACAGGGTTTTGAGTAAATATCTGCAGAAGTGTGCCTAATGTTACTTGGTGAAAGACAAATACCAGACAGAGAGAACAGAGAAAAGAGGCCAATGGGAGTAGAGCAAAATGGGTGGAGGACGAGAAGTAGGAGTAGTCACTGGGGAAAAGGGGGTCTTTAAGTCACAGGAAGCACTTTGTCATTCAGACATCTAACTTGTATTTTAGAAAAATACTAGCTGCTACATTAAAAAGAGATTTAGGTGAGAAAAGGTGGCTTCCACCACAGTAGTGGCACTGAGAAGTGACTGTACGATGGCTGTATCTTGAAGGAAAAACAATAGACTTTTCCAAGGAGGCGGCGCATGCTGCCGAGTATGAGACAAAATGACTCCACAGATAAAGCCAAGCAACTGTTATGGCTCAGTTGTAGATCAGCTGCTATCAGCTGAAACGTGGAAGGCTGTGAGGAGAAGAGGGTTTGGGGAACTCACATTCCTTCTTAGTGATATGTAAGAAGACAGAAGATAAATGGAACATGGCAAGTTTGAAATGAAACGTCTATTAAATACACAAGAGGAATAGATAAATATGCAAGTAGAATTTGGGAGAATGGGAAGGTGCTGGTTTCCTGTGGACACTGAGTTAAACAGGGAAAATGTATAAAAGGATTATTTTTGAGGATCTCAAAGCAGAGAGCAAATATGAGCAAACTTCTGCTTCTTTAAAGGTAAAGTGGGAATAGTAGAATTAAGTGTATACTGAAGGATTTTCATACTGGAAACAATTACTTTAATGCCAGGAAATACCAAGAACTCTGAAATATACAAAGTTTTACAGGTTGAAAATTGCTGAGAGTAGTGAATTTTGCTTTTCATGACTATATCTTCAGTTACAGCAATATGACTGGTGCATGCAAGCTAGTCAATCTAGTGACAGAGTCTAATTCTATTTCATTTAATAAATTAATTTATAAGAAATTCTAAAAAGATATTACATAATAAAATTTCACTTAGTAATCTTTAACTTATTTCCAAACATTTTAATAAATACATTTATTTTCACAATCTAAATATGAAGGGCCACAAATACATTTAAATTCGTATTATGTTCCGACTTTCCATTTTTCCTTGATTTTTTTTAATTTTCATAGGGTAAGCCTCCACATGAAAACAATTGTACAGAAGGTAGCCATTAAATTTAAGTTTTCTACTTTGAAAATTATTTTAAAATGAGTAGAATAGACAGGGTACCAAGACATGATATAAAAATTATTAGGGCCATTACATATCATTAACTTTTCCTAGGACCGAGTCCAAAAAGGAAAGTCCATAAATAAATACAAATGCAATTTTATAATGGCCACACAATAATGAATAAATACAATAAAATAAATCAGTAATTCATTTAAATCATATAAGATAAAGAACTACACAAGCTAGTTAAGATTTAATATAGCCATGCCTCACAATGAATGCCACGGTGTTTCTAGTCAAGAGTAATAACTAGAGTATAACTGAAAATACTTATAAAGCTGGTATACAGCAGAGTAACCCTTTAGGAATATAGGTCAATCTTAGAAAGTATATGTAAAGCAGAAAGGTATTTGGGTCCTTAAAGAAACTAACATATACAATTACTTGTATTTTGGCTAGTAACAAAAACATTATGGGTTATGGGTGAGTATCTACTATTTGGCCTTAGAGAATAAACAATAAAAGAAGAAATGCTTTAAAAGAACCTAGGGGGGGTTTCCCCTGGTGGAGCAGTGGTTGAGCACTGGGATGCAAAGCTGCCTGCAGCCTCTGCAGCACCGGTTTGATCTCCAGCCAGGAGCGAGGGTCCCACATGGCACGCAGACCTCTCCTGCCGCCAGCTGCTCCCCTCAGCAGTGTATTTCGGTCTTTCTGCCTGTTCTGTTCCCCGTTCTAGCTCTGGTGAATTCTCTCACCCTCCTGCACTTCTGACTGTACCCAGTGCTTGTGTAAATAAACAAATAAATCAAAACAAAACAACAACAACAAAAAGAACCTAGGGGGCCTCCCTGGTGGCACAGCGGGCTGAGCACAGCACTGTGAAGCTGTCCGCAGTCTCTGCAGCGTGGGTTCAATTCCCGGCCCGCCATGGAGATTCCCATATGGTGCAGCAGACCGGCAGACCTCTCTTGTCCTGTCTCCTCCTCCGCTGCTCCCCTTAGCAGTGTACTTCGATCCTTCTGCCTGTTCTGCTTCCTGCTCTGTCTCTGGTGAATTCTCTCACCCTCTCGCGCCACTGGCCTATACCCCACTGCTTGTATAAATAAATCTTTAAAAAAAAAAAAAAGAACCTAGGATCAAATTAATGCATTATTGAATCAATTTAATAGTGACAAACCCAAAAACATCTTTCTAGAAAACAAATTCTACATTAACACCTTTTAAAATAACAATTTAATTCAAAGCAATCAAACGATTTTTTTTGAAGGTCAAAGATACCTTACCATTCATTTCCTTGGGAAGGGTTTTCTAGCAGCACTCGGATTATGTATAATAAGCAGCTTAATAATTTGAGAGAAAAATTGAACAGTCGTATTCTTAGACCTTTAAACAAACAACAAAAATTTGATGTTCATTTGAACTTAGTTCACAAAAGAATAAAAAGAATTGTCAAAAAATCAACTTTAAATACAGCACTTAAATTGTATTTAGAAACTACAATAACATAATTGTCTAAACTCTGAAGTTCTAGGTAGTTGAATTTTAATTAACTGAATATTGAAACAAAAAGTGAGACTGACAAAATGCATGAACTCTAAATGACAATGAACATTATACATAAGAGTAAATATAGGTTAAGTCACAAAAATCATGTTCATCCAAGACCGGTTTGAATATGCTTAGATGTTTAAGTATTTTATATATCAATGAATTGTGTAATCAATTTTAGCTAAGCGGAAAATCTAGCTGCTTACAAAGTCACACGTGAATTTATAAGTATTGTATTTTCAGAATGCCTTGCATGTATGATTATACAGAAATTAAAATCATAGTATAATTATATATTGTATATTTAATTATATTAAATGCATATGATTACTGAAAAATCATAATAACATATGCTGGGAATACTGACACACACAAACATTTTACAATTTGACCAGTTGAGTCATACTTTTCACTAAAATTCCAATGAAATATTAAAAATTTTGTGGGAATTAAGACTGTCATGAATGTATCTTTGAAACTGTATAGATCACAGTTATGCAATCTGTCATAATGATGAAGAAAAGTAATTAAGATTAAACAAAACATGCTTAAAATCTGATTAATAGAAGCATTACATTTTCTGTAATTATTAGGTGGTATATATGATTTATGCATCATGAATAAAATTTTCAGAAAGGTTTTCCTATAACTATTATTTAATAAAATCTGGGAATGAAATGTCTTTTTTTTTTTTTACTCTGGTATATGTGAGTATACTTCAGATAACATTTCTTAAAAGCAAAAGGTTAATGTTCATGAATTGTGTCATTTTCCTAGGATTTCCTATTAAAATGCTAGCTACATTTTATGGGGTTAGCTTCTTTATAAAATCTTTTAAGCTATTAAGGACACTACACTGATTTTATAGAATTGGTCTTTTCAAATGACTGCTTGGTTAAATCTAGTTACTGACAAATATTAAAGTAATCAATCAATCTTTTCTGGTCTTATAAAAATAAAATTTATTAAAAAAATAATAAAAAAAGAGAGATAGCATTGTTAGTATTAAAATCAAGGAAACTGTGGGCCTCCCCTGTTGGCGCAGAGGTTGAGCACTAGGCTGTGGGGCTGCCCGCAGCCTCTGCAGCGCTGGTTCGTTCCCCAGCCGACAGCGAGGGTCCCACAAAAAAAAAAATAAATAAAACAAACAAAAAAAACAATCAAGGAAACTTTTATTAATATTATGTGACTGTTTAGGTAACATCTGTTGGGGCTTCTGTGGAAATTCCAAACATCAGGATAGAGAGACATTAGCTATTACCAGCTAAACCTGATACAACATACCATAAGAATTGCTATCTAATGTGCCTTAAATATTAAAATATTCCCTAATGTCAGTATTAGGAGTAATTTTCTCACAACTCAGGCTTTTTCCTTGGATACTTGCAGATGCACAATTTAATTTAAACCATGGCAAGAGGATTAAGAAGTCAAAATTCAGAGAGCGTAAAGTCTAAATCAAACTAATATAGACCTCTGCTTTGCTTGCTGAGATTTTAAACAATGATGTAATATATATGTTCATTATATGTGAATTTTAAATATATGTGGTATTATTGGGAGTATGAAATATCACTGATACTCCAATCTTGAAGATACTTACAAGTTCAGTGCTTAGGCTAATTTCACATTCTCTTTAAATTGGAATGTTTCCCAAATTTGTCTGATATTAATCATTTAGATATTAATCCAGATTGTCTAATCAAAGTCTGCTTATCAATGTAGAATGCAGAGTATTAAAGATATTTAAGAAACCGGGCCTCCCCAGTGGCACAGCGGTCATGAAGCTGTCCGCAGACTCTGCAGCGCCGGTTCGATTCCCCACCGGCCAGGGAGAACCCCACATGGCGCAGCAGACCTCTCCTGCCTCACCCGTTGCTCCCCTCAGCAGTGTCTTTGGTCTGTCTGCCTGTTCTGCACCCCTCTCTGGCTCCGGTGAATTCTCTCACCCTCCCGCGCTTCCAACCTGTACCCCAGTTCTTGTATCAAATAAATAAATAAATAAATCTTTAAAAAAAAAGATATTTAAGAAACCTTATCCAAACCAGATGCAACAACTATAGTTTTCTAAATTTTTATTGCCTGGCTGCCAAGAATATAAATTTTATTCCTCTATATAAAATATATTTTGCAAAAGTTTAAACAATTAGAATTTTTTGAGGAAATATATACACAAACATATAGACAGTGGAATAAAGTAAATGACTTACTTGACCTCTGGTTTTTAATAAAGAATAACTTTAGTCTCTCTTTAAATGTGTTTTCATTCATATAGAATTCAACTTGTACCCTGCAAACAGAAAATGAAAACATAATTAAAGACTAATAATTAGAAAAGAAAAATAAATTATTTAATACACTATGTACTTTTAACATGAACCACAGAAAATTGAATACATTACTGAGTTTTTGGAAAAAGAAGCTACTTTCTAATTTTAAAGATATAACCCATTCAAATATCATATTTTTTTTAATTATATTCTTTGTATTAGTGAATGTAAAGAGTAATATGGATGATTCGAAATAGCAATAATGCAAAGTCTTTAATATGTATCTTTGGAATAATTTTGAATGGGTGTTTTAATAATTTTCCCCATCATAAGAATACACTGGATATTTGAAAAAAATTAGTATGACTTGCTTATTATAAGAGAAATGTAAATCAAAACCACAATGAGTTATCACCTCAATCCTGTGAGAATGACTTATATCAAAATGACTGGAAACAACAGGTAATGGCCAGATTGTAGAGAAAAAGAAGACCTCGTACACTATTGGTGAGAATGGAGACTAGTCAAGCCCCTATACAAGACATCATGGAGGTTTCTCAAAAAATTAAAAATAGGTCTAATGTATGGCCTAACAATCCTACTCCTAGGTATCAACACCTCAAATGGAAAAGCACTAATTTGAAGAGACACACACATGCCTTTTTTAATTGCAGCATTATTTACTACAGCCAAGCTATGAAAATAACCTATATGCCCGAAAACGGATGAGTGGATAACGAAGATATGGTACACATATACACAAAGGAATAGAACTCAGATATAAAGAAAAAAAATAAAATCTGGTCATTTGTGATAACATGGATGGAACTGGAGGAGAATATACTAAATGACATAAGTCAAAAAAGAGAAAGACAATTACCAGATGATTTCATTCAAATATGGAGCATAAAGAAAAATATGAAATAAAATAAAAAAGATAAAATTAAGCCAAAACAAGCACTAGAAATCAGACTGCAGAGTTGAGGCTAACAGAGGAGGAGGTTAGGATGGAGTGGAGAGCATAGGGGTGATGGTGCCCAGTGGAATATGGTGGAGGACTATGGGTGCTTTGGTGGTAGGTGTGGTTGTGGTGTGTGAATCTATACCTCTGTATCAAAAACAGTGTTGTAAACCAATGTTACTGTAAAAAAAAAAAAAATACCCAAAAATGACCTGAATATTATGGGATGGGCCTGAAATCTTATTTTTAACAAGTTGTTTCATTCCACCTTAAGATTATTTGGGTCACCACATATGAGACACTTTATCTCTTAATTTACATATACTCATATTATACATGGTTAGAAAAGGAGTGCTAATGACAAACAGAATAATAAAATCACCAGATATGCTATAAACCAGAAAAATCCATTAAGAAATTGAATATTAGCTATTTAATTCACCACAAATTATATCAAGCCTGTAAAACACCAACATTCTAAAAAATACATTTGTTTGCTCTTCTAAATACTAAAAGAAATATCTTTAAAGTGATGGGCATAATTAATATTTTTAAAATACTAAGCGAAATGAAACATTGTGTGCAGAGCATACCTAGTTGATAATCAACATTAGAAATGGGAATCTTTTTGTAGGAGTACTCATGGAAGTTAAAACTTATGAAGATATTAATGTATTAGAGAAGTTTTTCACTACTATAATCGATGTTGTATTTTCAAGAAGTTCCATGAATATTTAAAAAGCAGTCTCTTATGCCATGAAAGCAAAAAGGGTTTTGTCAGTCAGAAATCAAGTTTTATCTATTACACATTCTAAAGGAATTGAATGCTCTGTGACTTTATTTTTATTAAAGATTTATTTATTTACACATACAAGAGCTGTGTTACAGGCCAAAGGCGTGGGAGGTGAGAGGATTCACCAGAGACAGAGTGGGGAACAGAACATGCAGAATGACAAATACACTGCTGAGGGGAGCAGCGGGTGAGTCAGGAGAGGTCTGCTACGCCATGTGGGTAGCTCCCTGGCGGGGAATCAAACTCGTGCTGCAGTGGCTGCAGATAGCTTCGTAGGTTGCCTCTTAACCCCTTGCGCCACCAGAGAGGCTCTGCTCTGTAACTTTATGGGTTTGTTTTCACCTTACATGTAAATAACAAAAAGAAAGAAATTCAGATTCTCGTTACTTATTTCTCCGGTGGCACAGCGGTTGAGCGCTGGGTTGAGAAGCTGCCCGCAGCCTCTGCAGCACCGGTTCAATCCCTGGCTGCTGGGTGAGGGTCCCACATGGTGCGCAGACCTCTCCTGCCACCCGCTGCTCCCCTCAGCAGTGTACTTCGTCAGTCTGCCTGTTCTCCTCTCCGCTCTGGCTCTGGTGAATTCTCTCACCCTCCCACACTTCTGACTGTACCCAGTGCTTATATAAATAAATAAATAAATCTTTAAAAAAAAAAAAAAAAGAATGAGTCCATTCTTCAGATAATATTTGGAGTTCAGTAAGTTCAGTACTGGATATATAATAGAGATGTATTTTTTAACTGAAATGAGATAACAAAATAATAATAACATATTATTTTGGACATATTCGATATTAACTACTACTGAGTGAATGCCTGAAAGGGTAATATCACCCCCAGTTTTTTCTTTGGTACGAAACTTACAGACACTGATTTGATAGTACAGTGAAAGAGATAAAAGGTTATAACTTAGGTTATAACTATCTGTCCCGACCCGCGGGATTCGGAGGCACGAAAAGAGAAGGGCTGAGGATTGAAATGAGGGGCTTGACAACTTGAAGCTAGCGTTTGCTTCTTTATTTTTCCTTTTCCTTCACTTTTACTTTTCCCTGTCTTTCTTACTTCCCTGGCCTTCTCTCTGCTCCCCTCGCAGCGCTCTCCTCTCTCGTGGTTCTCCTCTTAAATCTCTTTTCTTCTTCTCCTCTCTCTCCAGCGTTCTCCTCTTATACCCTCGTACCTCCTCCCCCCGTACCTCCCAGTCTCATGTGCTTTACAGGAAAAACCTGTGGTTCTCCGAAGGCGAAACGGTAAAGCGAACTCATGGCACACATATGCAACACGGCACATACTCCAGACGGCTCCGGACATCTCCCCATTTTTTCTTTTAAATGAGACACCTGCCTGTCTTAGGTTGGCACGTCCCATAACCAGCCTTACCCATCATCGCTAATCCGGCGCACTTGGTCCGGACCGCTGTCTTAGGTTGGTCTGGAGGGGCTACACCCTTACCCGTCTTTGGCTCACAGGTTCTCTAAGACTAAGGTGACCCATCCAGGTGCCACTGGGGAGTCCTGGTCAAGTACCATGGTGCCAAGTACTTGCCTGATCGCAATAGCACAATAGTTCTTTGTTTTACTTCCGTAGCCGACGAAGAAACCACAAACCGAATGCACAAAAAGCCAAGAGCTAAGGCTACCACCCTGCCCCAAGCTTACAAATCTGAGAGGAGTCCTCTAAACCAGGCAATGAGACCCTCACCCGTAACAGGGGTAACACAAATAAAACTGTACAGAGGGTTACAAGGTATGTGAGCGGTTAACAAAAGTGTGTCTATCCCTTTTTACATTAGCTAACTGCTGACTAAGCATAAAAAGTCCATTTCGTAAATGTCCATTAATATCTTGCTGTGTTGACAATGCAGAAGCAACACCGGCAGCTAAATTGTCCATAGTGTCCGTATTTGCAGCAGCTTGAGTGACAGCAATGGCGGCGGCAGTCGCAGCCGCAGCCATCGCTATTGAAACGGCGACAATAGCTGCAGTGATGCTAAAATCACGTCTCCTTCTAGGTAGAACAGGGAAAGGTGTGCAGAAACAACCACGGGCATGACTAAAAAAGAAGGTAGACGAACGATCACCGCCCTCTCCGCACTCCAGGCCCAGCAGGCAGAGAAGGCGCAGGCCTCCGCTGAACAGTTCAACACAGTGGCATTTCCTGCATTATTGGAAAGGACAAGAAAGAAGGGAGGGGACAAACAGACAGCAGCAGACAAACTCTCCGACCCATTATTCTGGACACTAACGGATTGTTCAAAGGTACTGTTTGCAGAATAAGTGCCATTATATAATTTCACCTCACCCTGGCCCACCAGGGCAAAAGGGCACCAGTCCAGACATGAACGATTATTACATACACAAATATCCTAACAAAGTCTCACATACTCATACAAACTAGCCTGAGCTTTCCAGGGTCTAATAGCTTCCTGACACCACTTACTAGCATTTTCAAAACACAAGCTGTTTAACTATCAGTAAGAAGGCATCAGTGTTACCTAGAATTCGGCCAGCTGCAGTCATCAGTCTTGCTAGGAACTCCGCATATGGTTCTGTCGACCCTTGAATGACCTTTGTTAATGGAATGTTGGCTTCTCCTCCATCTTGCCTTATTCCAAATGGCACTAGCGACCTGATCCTGCTCCAGAAACCACTTACTAGTGATACTAAGGGTCTCTACAAATCTTTTAAGAATTTTCCTTACTAAGAGGAACCCCAAACTATTTTAGGAGAGCTTCCAGGGAAATAACTAACCGCCCCTTGGACATTGAATTGCCCATGATCCCAGCTACCTTACTTTACTTGCCGGCTCACCACAGCTGGTCCTTCAGCGTTTCCTTCGTTCTTTTTCGTGCCCCGCGCTGGGTGCCACCTGTCCCGACCCGCGGGATTCAGAGGCACGAAAAGAGAAGGGCTGAGGATTGAAATGAGGAGCTTGACAACTTGACGCTAGCTTTTGCTTCTTTATTTTTCCTTTTCCTTCACTTTTACTTTTCCCTGTCTTTCTTACTTCCCTGGCCTTCTCTCTGCTCCTCTCGCAGCGCTCTCCTCTCTCGTGGTTCTCCTCTTAAATCTCTTTTCTTCTTCAACACGGCATATACTCCAGACGGCTCCGGACAACTATCCTTAGGTTATAACTATTCAGAATGCAAACATGAATTTCTTTTATTCCAACTTGTTCTACCTTGTAAATAATGACAATTCCCTACACATTTTTAATTTTCCCCCATTTTTATCAATTTAGGTTTATTTGTACTATTATACCATTATTTAATG